GATAATTGTAAATCTATTGCTGCAGTGTATTCTATATGTAGTACATGTACAGTACATATAGAATACACTGCAGCAATAGATTTTTGTTGTTCACACAAAACACTAAACTTCCCTCTTAAGCCCAGGCCCTCACTTACTGTTGCCTGTTTGATCGCTGGTGCCTCACGATTTTCCTCACATGTGTGGACGTCGTCGCGCTGAGCTGAAGAGGAGCATCGTGCCACTGCTGCTCCGGTGGGCGGCGCTCCAAGTGGGGTCCTCTGGGCAGTCGCCGGCCACCTTAATTAGGACCCCCACCTGGAGCGCCGCCCACCGGAGCAGCAGTGACGTGACGATCGGCAAGCCAAGTAAAGAAAAAAAAAAACATAGAGCAAGCTTCGGCTCTATGCATCGGGGCATTTTGACAAGTACAAGTACTTGTCAAAATGCCCTGTATCGGTCCTGATACCGATGCTTGTATCGGTATCGGGACATCCCTCATATATAGCAATGGACACATCCCCGCCATGACACCAGTTATATTTATAGCAAGGGACACACCCCTGCCATGACCCCAGTTATATATATATAACAATGAACACACCACTGCCATGACCCCAGTTATATTTATAGTAATGGACACACCTCTGCCATGACCCCAGTTATATACAGTATATAGCAATATACACACCCCTGCCATTGCCACAGTTATATATATATAGCAATGGACCCACCCCTGCCAAGACCCAAGTTAGTGCTGCATACATTGGTGGTGATATATAAATACCTGTAATAAATAATAAAACAGGGCAGACAGAAACTTCACATTATTCTGGATTAGGAAATCAGCAAGTTTTCCATTGTAGGAGCTCTTAAAGATTTAAAAACTGAGGTGGGATTGTTCATAGATAACGTCAAGAGAGAGAAACAGTTGTATTCAAGTTCTTGTTTAGACTGGAGCTCTTCTTTAATAGGTTAGCTACAGAAATGCCCATCGTGGACAGAAGATCTCTTTGTCAATGTTTATGGGATGTTTTAAAGACTTGGTGTCCTAACTAGGACATTCATGTTTGTTTTAAGGAGTTTCACTACCTTGTAAGGATTTAGGAACACACTGAACTGCACTTGGCTTGATAAAATCAAACAGCATTAATTAAAGTTATTTTCATCACTCCAGTCATTGGGATTGTATTGGACTTTTGTCCTTGCCTTGCCCTGGACACGTAAACCTGTATCTTGTTAAGGCTCATGATAACCATTTATAGAGTGAAATAAGATTTGGAGATTCAGTTCACACAAGGCTCTTAATTCAGGATTGGGTGACGGCAAGCAAGTGAAATGAGGCACCTGATGAAGAGCAGGAATGTCATGCCTGTACGGTACCCAATGGTACTTACCAGTAAATGGCATAGTGCTGTATGCACAGTCAAACCCGAGAATGTTTTTTGCTTGCTGAACTAAGCTGAACTTTAGTTGCTGAAATCTAGGCTACACAAATATTGTCCAAGTATAAGAGGCATGTATATTATTACCCGAATAGTGATCTCTTCTGTGTATGCCTTCCAGATCTGTGGACTGTATTCCAAATATGTTGCCAGAAAAGCCCCTGGAAAAATCTGATTGTTCTGTCACTTGAGTGCAGTTGGAAACTTCCAGCTTTGTAATTGGTAGTACCCAAGTAGCAAGAAGCACTCATTGACTCATTGAAACCCTTCACATTTGCAGATGTTGTGCAATGGGTATCTATTGTCCATAGGTACCTCTTTAAATAGAAATGTGTCTTAGAGATACACATTCAACAGCACAGTCTTGTTTTGGTAAATGCCAATGTTTTGAGTGACCTACCTGCCTCTTATAAGGTCTCGGTACCTGATTTCAGAAATCCACCCTCATGCAATGGTCATTGTGATGGGGTTTCATTTTTATTGCTGATTCATGCATTTCATTTATTTTACAGAGATTTTAGCAGGTGGAGTGCTTGGCTCCACTGGTGGGGAGATGAAGCCACCCTGCAGGGCCGGTGCTGCCACTAGGCAAACTAGGCAGCCGCCTAGGGCGCAGTGCTGCCTAGGGTGCAGCCTCAACCACTCACCCCCTTCACGGTGCCATCCCCCCTATCTATTTCAAATGGCAAAAAGCCAATAGAAGGCTGGCTATTGCACCCTCCCACTAAGCAGATGAGTGCAACTGAGAGACAACTTTATATAGGGGGTTTCTTGAGCAATGGCAGGTTAATCTCAACTGGGCACTTCTGTAAGTGAGCACTTCTACACTAACTACCAGCATAAGGAGGCACTTATTTAACGATTCCCAATGTAAGGGGGTACTTCTTCCCTGACCAACAATGTAAGATGGCACTTTTGGACTCTCCAGTAATGCAATAGGACACTACTTTTTTCACTGTGCGCGTTTATTTTTTACTTGTAGAATATAAGTGTCAAAAGTTTCCACTGTTCCACTTTTCCATTGGCCACTAAAGGAAAATAATACTACAGTCATCACTGTCTATATTTACTTTTTTTGCATATAGAATATGTGTGTTGGTTGTTAAAAAAAAACCTCAATGGATGTAAAAATTTCTATATACCGCACATCTGTTATCCTTTTATTATCTGTACAACTTACTTATCATCTTAATACGCTGTGTCTATAGACTAAAACGCTTATAGCAGGGAGGTCCCTAAGTTAATTCAATTCAAGGCTGCTAGAAATGATTGCATTTGTTATTTGGGGAGTCCAATATAAAGGAAAAGTAGTGTTAAAGAAATGATATTTAACCAATGAGTTTGTGTATAAAATCTTCATTGTTCATGTAATGGGGTTTGTGCTAGGATCGTGTCCTTTGCCCACATTCTTTGTGCAAAAGTGTGTCCCTTATTCTCAACTCAGAAAGTTGTGAGGTATGCCAGAGAACTGCCATTATAGTCTGTGCCAGGTCCCGTCAGTAACTTTGCATATTTACTACGGTAGCTGTTTCACTGTATGCTTGAACTCAACAGGAGTATTGGATGGGCTTAAGAATATTACATCAGAGGAAAGTAGTTTGTACTCTATTACATTAAAGTGTACTTATCCCTAAAAAGAAGTCAACAATGTAGTTTTAAATACAGAATGCCCCTAAACTCATTGAGTGTAAAAGATTTCCTCAAGTCTTCTGAAGACATTTTCTGGGGGCTGGATACAACTGAGGTTGTGAAAACTACAGTTGAAACTCGAATAATTAGAATATCGTGCAGAAGTAATTGCAGTAAGTGCTGCAAAAGGGGCCCAAACCAAGTACTGAGTACATATGCATGCTTGTACTTTTCAGAGGTCCGATATTGTTCTATGTACAATGCTTGTTTTATTGATTGCATGTAATAATCTACTTTTTTGAGGTTGTGGATTTGGGGTTCTTGGGGTTTTCATGAGCTGTAAGCCATAATCATCACAATTATGACAAATCACGGCTTTAATTATCTTGCTTTGCATGTAATGAGTCTATCTCATATATTAGTTTCACCTTTTAAGTTGCATTAGTGAAATAAATGAACTTTGCACCATATTATAATTATTCGAGTTTCACCTGTATATTGCTTTTTGCTACATACAGTACATTGAGCTAGATAAACTAAAGGTGCGCTTTAAGATTCTTTTTTTTATATACAATTCCTGCACAAGTCGCTTCTTTCTTTCCAAACCTTTGGAATTGAACTAATTTTTGGCACATCCAAAAAAGTAAAAAATATTTGTCACCAAAACAATAGTTTATCGGTCCCTTTGTGCAAAAGGGTGTCCTCCTTTATCATCTCAGGAGGTTGGTAGGTATGCATCACCAATCACACTCACTATACATACACTGTACTTTCCCTTAAAATTTGTTTTCACGGTAATGCTATCTTAGCTACTGTAAATATAAATTTATCATAATAAACCCGAGTAACCATAAATGATATTTATAGAAACTTCTTTTTACATCCTCGGTCTGTCCCTGGAATTTTAGTACAGTTGGCAAGCTGTAGTGATCCTTTTTATTCCTGATCTGCAATCTTTGCCCTCTCTGACAATTTTCCCCCAGATTTCCCAGGCAGGTCAGCTGCGTCTTTTTTCGTTTATGCAGAAACGAAGGTCAATGCCCCTTAGAGTTCATAAATCCTCCATTTAGCCTTTTCTTTGTGGAATAGCCAGCGTAGGCAGGAAATGCTTTACTGGGAGGAATGCAGTACGTAACACTGACATTTTTGGTCATGTGTTTTCACCAGAAGTTGTACAGTTTTTATTTCGTTATGAGGCCCTACCACAAATCTGTCATCTCGGCTGTATATTTATCATGTAAGAGGGGGTGGAAAAAAATCCATATTTTCAATCGATACTTTGTATGGGAATTATGAGCGCCACTTATGTGCCGAGTGAGATTTGTGATACAAGCAGTCCAAGGCGCAGAGGGGTTTGACGTGGCGTAAAATAAGTTCAAATATATTGAGCCTTTTATACAGAGAGCAATCTAAAGGGAATACCAAGCGAAATAGAAGTGGTTTTCCCGCAAATTGGGTTCATTATGTAACTTGTTTAGTGCTTTAGCACTCAGACCAGCATATTAAAACTAAAGTTTACTTAACATTTTTCTTCTGGATACAGCACCAGTCTAATAATGTACCTCTAATTCAATGTATGCTACGTCCTGCTGGCTGCTCCCTTCAGTGATGCCGGATCCGCCTTACAGCGGTGAACTCCTGACTCTGTATGGGTTCACTGTCTCATCTGTAACAGTGAAGGATCTATGTCACTCACCCTTCCCTTAGCCACTCACAAAACGCCTAGTAATTTTTTCCCAGGCGTTCTGTGAATGGAGGAGGGTGATCCCGGCATTAAGGCGACCTTCCTCCATTCATAGAATGCCATGCATATGTGATTAATGATTTCTGAATGAACACATAAGTGGACTAAAGTGAGTTTAATAATTTTCCTGTAGATCCTCTATAGAAGTCCAATGGGCATGGAGTTTTTCTTATATATTTAATTGCCACATTTTTCTGTTTCAGATCCAGAATGCTAATGACGTCCTGATATCACCTCTTGAAAAATTTCGCAAGGAGCAGATTGGGGCAGCCAAAGTAAGTAGCATCCGCACTCTTCTTCCTCCAATGTGGATGTGTTTCTTTACATTTTTGCTTTAATATATCCAGCTTGATAAATGGATTTTTTTAATCCGACAGTACAGAGAAAATTGTTGACATGATATGGCCAATAAGGGTAGACTACCAAGACATGACATCTTTTTGTCATGTCTTGGTAGTCAAAACAATGAAAGTTGCTGCATTTTACATTGTTCTTTCTGTGATTGACTGATGTGGACAAGGTTGTCACTTATTTTTCAGTACAGATTTCAACATGAATTCTTGTTGGTTGTTTTGGCTAAAGCAGGCATTTTCTTTCACGCAACCTGAAATACACATGGCTTCATGCTCTATAATTTATATGAATTATACCCATGGCCATCAATGTATATTTAAATAGGAATTCCAGGCAAAACATTTTAACCCTTACAGTGGTGCTACCCCCGCATTGCAAGGGTTAACTGCTTGTTTTGGTCTAGGGAGAAAAATATCAACGTTATACATACGCAATCCTCAGAGTCAGCCGGCTGTGACAGCGCTACCTCCATCCCGTCTCCTCCTATGCCCCAGTGATTGTATGTCCCTCGGCTGTGTATAGACTGTGATGACTCAGGGACCTCAGGCTAGTATCGGTGACGATACCGAGTATTTGGGCTCGTACTCGCCCAAATGCTCCCAATGCCTTCCCTGATATCGGAACTTCCGGTATCAGGAAGCCGGCCGGCGAGGGAGCATGGAACTGGCTTCTCGGTCAATTACTAGGCCGGGGGCGGGTAATGACTCGACCCGTGTCTTCCGTATTGGCCAGGAAGCCAGCTCCGTGCTCCCTCCTCACTTGGTGAGGAGGGAACATAGAGCCAGCTTCCTGGTCAATCAGGACGCCGGGGGTGGGTAATGACTCGCCTCCCGGCTTCTTTATTGGTCAAGAAGCTGGCTAATCAGGAAGCTAGGGGGTGAGTCATTATGGTGATGAGGAAGCATGAAGATGGCTTCTTGGGTAATCAGGAAGCCTGGCGGTGAGTCACTACATGCCGCCCGGCTTCCCGGCTAATCAAGAAGCTGGGCGACGAGTCATTACACGGCGCCTGGCTTCTTTAATGGGACTTCCGCTATCTGTATTTTGTATCGGCGAAAAATAAATAAATATTGGTACTCGTACTTGATACAAAAAAAAACCGGTATTGGTGCATCCCTAAGAAAAATTAAATAAATAAAGTAGAAATTGTACATCTCGTGCTTTGGTGCTGTTACCACATTGCACATTGCAAAGGTGAATATTTTATTCTTCAAAATAACCTACTTTCTTTATAAAGTCAGTGGCATCATCTTGGCATCATCATCAGTGGCATTTAGGAGGAGGTATTAACATGTGTTGTGCTAAGGAAGTCCATTCATTTGAATAGGTTGCCAAATGCACCAAAATTCACTTTAAAAGGTGCATATGCCCTTTTTTTGTAGTGTTACCACGCACTGTGCTGGGCTGCAATGCACGTCCATTGGCAGGGTCGGATGTGGTGCCATTAGGAGTGAATAGTACTGCAGCACAACAGTGTCCACAGGTTAGATGCTGATTCAGATTGTTTCTGATTAGAAGACAACTATTATAGTCAGATATATATTTTGCCAAACAGGATTTTCTAAAAATACATTTATAGCCAAAACTTTTTTTAGATTTCAATTGTGTAGAGGAGGATTTGAACCCACGTCCCAACCAAGTTTGTATTGTTATCTATGATGGCACTGGGTAGATTCACTCTCTCTATTGACCATTGTTAAAGAGACAGTGACGGCAAAGCTAACATTTTTGAGTTGTCACTGGAAAGTGTACCAATGGCAACAAGCCAACTGTCTAAAAAGGAAATTTCCTTTCACTTCCTGTTCCTGGGAGAGGAAGTGAAGCAAAATCTTCCCAATAGGACAGAAACCACACAAAAAAAATAACTGGATAGGGTTATGACTGTTTCCTACCCCAAAACATTGGCTACACATACAATTTCAGTTTTCTTTTATTTGTTTCATATTTGTTTATGAGCTTATTCCCTTTTTTGTTTCTTGAATTTAGATAAGATATAAAGGTCTTAGAAAGAAAAATAGTTATCATTTGTTTTTTTTAGCTTCCACATGAAACGCTCGACTTGTAGCTTGTAGCTAACTATTTATATAAAAAACGGGAACCACCTAGGTGAGCCGGCCTCAGCGCGACTCAGTGTTCGGCTGTGTCTTGGAGGTAATGCCGCAGAACACATTTATAAATGGTCTTTACACTATCCAGGAATAATAAAGGCTATTTGGATGCTTCCAGCCATCACTCAGGTCCCTCTCTGTCGGGTTATTTAATGTTGCAGCTAAACACAATTATTTGATGATGCGATTGTCAAGTCGGCGATAAGTGGTTTAATCATTTGCCTTTGTCCCTGGAGGATTGTACAGAGCTTAGCAATGCAATATGCAGTATATATATGTATACTGTATATGGAAATATTCATCTTCTACTCTTGTAGTGTTTGATGGAGTGAGCGATTCTAAACCTTTATCTACTAAAGGACCAGCCTGACATCCCTGGGAAAATATCACTGACTATGTCTAGTGAGGAAATCCGTCATTTCATCATGGGTATGTAAACCTCTGACTAGTGATGCTGCTAATAAAGGGAAGTTATTGATGTTTTAAAGCTGAACTCCAGGCAAGGTGCTAAATACACATATAACAGCAGGTTTACCTGGCAAAGGATTTGTATTTTTGCCCATCCTGTCCTATGATTTATACAGCTATACCGCACCGCCCTGCCTAGCAGGGGAGGAGGCTGCTTTTTCTGTGTTGCAGTATTATTTATTTATTATTGGTATTATAGCTCTGTCAATTTACGCAGCACTTTACATAGTTGCACATTCACATCAGCCCCTGCCCTCAAGGAGCTTACAATCTAAGGACCCTATACAGGGCCTATACAGGGCCAATTTATACCGGAGCCAATTAACCTTCCAGCATGTCTTTGGAGTGTGGGAGGAAACCCAAAAACACAGGGAGAACATGCAAACGCCTTGCAGATAGTGTCCTGATCAGGATTTGTAACCAGGGACCTCCAGTGCTGTAAGGGAGCAATGCTAAACACTACGCCACTCTGCTGCTCAGGTAACTTACAAGTCACTTTCCGACAACCCCCCCCCAGCCTGTGACTGGACAGTGAAAGGAGAAGCACTGAGGAGCTCATCTCTCTGTCACTCTGTTCTCTCTTCCTATTAGCATGCTGCTTGCATTGCAGCCCACTAATTGGCTCATTGTGCTGCTTCTTCATGCCCCTCTCTGAGCTCTGCTGTATGGGGACTTGTAAATACTTTACAACACACACATGGACCATGGGGGACAAAAGTAGCCACCCTCCAGAAGGAAGGACAGTGTCAGCACCAATTCAGAGATGATTTGAGGATCTACAGCCGAGTGATGCACAAATAAAATAAATTTGTGTTAATAGTTAGGGTACTTGAATGCATTTTAAGATTTAACTCCTGAGTTTAATGTCACTTTAAGGTTCTAGTCACATCTGGGTCTTCTTTGACACCCTATTTTCAAAGAAAACTAGGGCCTTCCTTCAAATAGCCGGTGTGCAAATCTGCAGCTGGTTGGAGAAACCTTTTAAATGGTGAAAAGTTTGTCTGCAAAAACAGTCTGCATCTCCCTGGACTTGTGAGAGCTTAACATGCTGGGACTAGCTTAGCAGTAGCTGGTGGGACGTAGTTTATGCCTGATTTATTGAACCAGGGACACAAAAAAGTGGACACCACAATTCAGAGTTCTTGGAATCCTGGGAACTCCGGAGAGATGAAACTGGTAAAAAAGATTCCTTATTTGGTCAGTGAGTCTGAGGTCCACAGCTGGTATTATTGATGAGCTCATCTCTCCGTAGGCCAAGCTCCTGGGTTCCTTTTTATCCCCATCCTGCCTGTTAAACATTATTTCCTTCAAGTGCCCCTTGACCTTGACTGACATTCAGTGTAGATCAAAGGAAACGGAGGCGTATTTAAACACTACTGAAAGAAATAAAGCAAAATTGGACTTTCCTTTTCAAGCCATACTTTGTGGCTTATAAACGCATTGGGCTGTTCACATTCTTTCACAGTAATTGGTGTTTTGCAATGAAAGCTTCAATTAGAAAATGAAAGTAATGGGCACATCAGGGTTTTCTAGTGAGCGGAGCAGTTACCTGTGCATTGCAAAGCTTAACTAAAGCATTTACACAGTAAATTATATACACTGAGTGGCCAGATTGTTATGACCATGTGTCTTTTTGTAGCCAAACAGTTGTACGGACTGACACAAATCCAAGGTCTCTGACATCTGGGCTTTTGGTATACGGTGGATTGGTGATTATGGAGCCCACCCTTCATTTTCTTTAAAGGAATGCTGTATTGAGAACATATGTTTGCTGTCATTGCTGAACTCACCTGTTTAAAAATGTTAGTTGCCTGGCAGTTATGTGGATCTAATGGCTTTAGTATTTTATAAACCACTGGCCCAGAACAAGTACAGGTGAAACTCGAATCATTAGAATATCGTGCAAAAGTAATTGCAGTAAGTGCTGCAAGAGGGGCCCAAACCAAGTACTGAGTACATATGCATGCTTGTACTTTTCAGAGGTCCGATATTGTTCTATGTACAATCCATGTTTTATTGATTGCATGTAATAATCTACTTTTTTGAGGTTGTGGATTTGGGGTTCTTGGGGTTTTCATGAGCTGTAAGCCATAATCATCACAATTATGACAAATCACGGCTTGAATTATCTTGCTTTGCATGTAATGAGTCTATCTCATATATTAGTTTCACCTTTTAAGTTGCATTAGTGAAATAAATGAACTTTGCACGATATTCTAATTATTCGAGTTTCACCTGTATGTTTGAGGAGCTCTAACACTCCTCTGGCTTTGCTAGTGACATGCTGTTTCCAGTTTAAAGTAAGGTTGGGAAGCAACAGACAGGTAAGCAACATTTTCAGGAGG